TCGCGAAGTACAATTTTAGAAAACAACATTGTGCACTCGATACAGTGGAATCAAATTTATCTCGAAACCGTTTTAAACGTTGGAACACACGTTGCATTTGGCGCTGTTCCAAAACGCAGAATCTCGTGTCGTGGTTTCAAAATTCAAATCCAGCCGGTTTTTAATGCTCCTTTTCAGATAAGCGTGGTCATTAAAGATAAAAAATGCCCAGGAAACGTTTAATTACAACTTCTGATCTCTCTTCTCGTTTAAATGGGTCTGTAAATTGCCGAATTCGATCCAAATAAATTCTGTGACTCATATACTTCAGAACGTTACCAATAAATGAACCATTCTTCTCTCATAATTTCCTTAAACCACTGACTTGTTATTTACTTGTCATTACCACACATGCAAAATGAATTTAAATTTTAAATAAATTTTTTAATAATTTTTAAATAAATTTTCTATCAATTATTTGTAAATTAAATATTTATTTTATCTGCTTGTTTATTTATTAGCCTATTTTGGATTTTTATTAAGAAAAATATTTAATTCAAACTACCAGTATTTGCAATAATATTGTTTATACATCATTTTAAATTCAAAAAAAGAGAGAGAAATTGTTTAATATGTAATTCTATAAATTACATTACATTTTTAATTACTGAATTTAATTACTAAATTGAATTACAGAGATTTTTGTATTTTATATTATAAAATTAAAATTCTATTAAAATTCAAACATTTGCTGTCCTCTTAATAATGCAAATTTCAAAATTGTTATCAATGATGGTTCGAGTTATATTAATTTTAATTAACACAAACTTTATTATAAAATGAAAATTCGATATGATGAAAATTAAGGTAACTTTTGGATTTTTGATAGAAACTAGAAATCAAAATCTTGTATAAATCAGTATGAAATGTTCCTAAATTTTGTTTTAAATTGACAATTCCCATAACTAATATTCGAATATTATGAACCTAATTTATAACACATTGCTTATCAGTCACAGTGCAATTTTTCAGAATTTTCTTCGCAATTAATCGATTTTGTATTATTTTTCTCATCCAATTTCCAAAAATTTCGAAATTCTTCTCGAAGATTTAAAAAATTTGTCACCTATAGCAATTCGAATATTTACGAATGTAACCCATGACACACTGCTAAAAATTTTTGAACTTTGCATTACAAAGAGACTATTTGTTATAGTTACTAACACATACAGGGTGTTCTTAATGAAACAACAAATCCATACCAAATTCACAGAAGCAAAGTCATGTCACAAAACAATAACAATTTTCGATAATAAAAAATTCAAAAAATCGCATCCATGACTCGTCATATATAGGGTGTCCCAATTTTTTTAAAATTTCTTTACCCTTTGACACTATTATTCCTCTAAACAAGTAGATCTGCAATGGAAAAGCAAATAATTTGAAAAAATTGCTGATCCACGAATGTAAAACTCAACGTTGTTAACACAATATTTACGGACACTATCTGTATACCTATTGGGTTGTTAACTAAGTAATTACGGATTTTGTCAATAGATGACTTTTGCACATTCTTTTGTTTTGTCAACGTGTTCAAGGCACCTAACTGATATTGTTTTCTTGTTGTTTGGACTTCCGCCTTTAATGTAGTTGAAAAATTGTATCGATTAGTTATTTAGTTTCGTTTTTATCCGAATTTAAAAATGGAAGAGCAAGACGCGCATTTTGGACATATTTTATTGTTTTATTTCCGAAAAGGCAAGAACGCATTGCAAGCACGCAAGAAGTTATGTGCCGTATATGGGAATGAAGCCTTGAAAGAAAGACAGTGTCAAAATTGGTTTGCCAAATTTCATTCTGGTGATTTTTCGCTGAAAAATGCGCAACAGTCTGGCCGTCCAGTTGAAGTTGATGAGACCCATATCAAGGCCATTATCGATTCAGATCGTCATAGCACAACACGTGAGATTGCAGAGAAGCTCGATGTATCGCATACGTGCATTCAAAAGAAATTAAAACAGCTTGGCTATGTCAAGAAACTCGATTTATGGATCCCTCATCAGCTTAAGGAAATTCATTTGACGCAACGCATTAGCATCTGCGATTCGCTTCTGAAACGCAACGAAATTGATCGATTTCTGAAACGAGCGATAACTGACGACGAAAAGTGGATAGTTTAAAACAACGTCAATCAGAAAAGATCGTGGGTGATGCAAGATGAACCAGCCCAGGCGACACCAAAATCTGAGAGTCACCAAAAAATGTATTTTCCTTCTTATTTAAAATCCGCAATCATTTAGTTGCCAACCTAATATTTCTATGGACACCTGTCAAATTTACAGGTAAAGGAAACCACGTCCTTTCTTTTTTTAACCATTAGTTTAATTTAAAAACAATTGCAACATTAATATAAGTTAAGTCTTAATATAAGTTAACTAAATCTGTTACCATCGTATAATTTGAGCAACCCATCCGTGAAATTGACGGGTTTCGTAAATCTAGTGTTAAATTGTATGAAAAATTCGGGACACCCTGTACATCTGAATTACATTCGTCCGCGAAATAAGAGCGTGACAGTCGATTTTCGAAACATTACACGGCAAGAAAAGGAATTACGACAGATTAAATTGTCTTCTTGCCTCCACTTAATTGCGCTGATAATGCTGAGTGTGCGGTTACGCAATTTTTAGAACGCGATATTGTTTTAATTGCCGTGCAATGCAACGGAGGTGTAATTCCAGCCTCTAAGGGGCGACTTTTAATTAAACGTCCCGTCAAGTATTCGCGCGTGTTTCGTTATAAAACGCCGGTGGTTGCCATTTTGAAGGACGCTGCTCTAACAAATGGCATCCTCTTGGCGTTACGTTTAATTCAACGTATTTCGAGTAATTCCAGCTCTCCATTGGCTTTGATATTTTATTTACGATGGCACCGTGGTCAGGAATATCATGCCCGTATTCTACGTGTTCGGGATAACGTTACGTTGTGTATGCAAAATATGCCGAATATTATGGCTCGTAGCGTTGTTGAGCTCTGGGTGCTGCACGTGTTTTGCTCTGAGAATATTGCGTTTGTAATTATATAGGATGTTGCAGATGTTCTATAAACGGTAATTATTGTGGTGGTACTTGCAGGATACATCGGACGTTGTATGTAAATTATTATTGCAATTGTGGCCTTGGTAAGTAGCGGATGTGGCTGATGTAACAATTGTATTGAGATATTGTGATGCAAGGGAGGTCCTGTTTAGGTTGAGTGTATTGTGAATCTTAAAATATATTTGTATGGAAATATAGGAAAATTCAGGTTTCCATTTTTAATTTTAATTAATCTCTTTGTTGTATTTGATTATTTCGTTAGTTATATTTGTTGCTTTGTATTTCTTGACTGATCATCCTCAGGGGCCCATAATAAGGGAAATATATATTGCTATTAGTTAAAAAAGTAATAATAAGAAAAATAATGAAATAAATGGTAATTATTTTATTTTGTTATTATATGAACAAATATCAAATTAAAACTGAAAGCATAGTATATTAAGAATTTTAAAACATATTTGTATAGAAATATAGGAAAATTCAAGTTTCTATTTTTAATTTTAATTAATCTCTTTGTTGTATTTGATTATTTCGTTAGTTATATTTGTTGCTTTGTATTTCTTGGCTGTTCATGCTCAGGGGCACATAATAAGGGAAATATATATTGCTATTAGTCAAAAAAGTAATAATAAGAAAAATAATAAAATAAATGATAATTATTTTATTTTGTTATTATATGAGTAAATATCAAATTAAAATTGAAGGTATAGCAATTAAAATTAATAAACAAATGAAACCAATAAAGGAATGGAAAAATAAAAATAAGAATTTCCATTTTTATTTTCATAAACTAAAAGCGTAGTAATTGAAAGTAATAAAGAAATAAAATTAATAAAGAAAATAAGAAAGTAATGGTGACCTTGAGACAAATTTCATCTTTCATAATAATTGCCACTTTATAATAAACAATAATTTTTTCGAACACGTTTTGTTCTTATCAAAGTGAAATATTTGTAATATCGAAGGCAAAGCAAATAAAAATGAAGACATTAATCACTATAAATGAAAGTGTGAAACACGTTCATTCTTTGTGATAGCATTCACGTAATTTTGCTACCAAGTGAAAGGATAAGATTGTACATTGAGTAATGATGAAGCTGACTCAGTAAAAGCATCGAATCAAGCTTTCCTTAAACTATGTTTCATGTCGGTCAATTATGCTCTTATACCTAAGAGCGTCTTTATGCATTGTTCGAGTAAAGTTCCCGAGGAAATTAATCATAGTCAATTTTTATTAAAATTGATTCAAACTTGACGATCTTTACATTAAAAGTGCAGAAGAAAAAATTACTTTATTTCCTATATTATTTATTAAAATCTTACCAATTTTTAAGCAATAATAAATTAATTCTTCTCTTAGAAATTTCGTAAGTTGCAAAAATTTATTTAAAGCCAATATATTAATTTTGTATAAACTATTTTACTTGTCTACTTGTTTTAACTATTGCACTATAATTTATAATTAATTTTGGTGACTAAAATTAATAAAAATGGGAATTTCTATAATTTTTCATAATTTTCCATATTTTTATAGATGTGCATTTTTCTAATAATTTGCATCTTCATAATTTGCACTTTCATGTGTCTAAATTTTTAGTTATTTAAATTTATAAGGAAAATCAAAATTTATTTTATACAAATTTCGACTCGTTAAATATTCTAATTATTAACTTTTTAAAATATCTTAATAATACCTCAAATTTGATAAATATTCCTTCCAATTGTTTTTAATATGATCGCATTCTGACAGAATGCTTTCAAAAATAATATTCGACTTTGATATAAAAGTAGTAATAAATATTAATAAGTATTCAACTTTAATATAAATAAAGAGTATAACATTTAAATTGCGTAAAAGTATACAACATAAACAATAAACAAAATAACAATTAAGAGCTAAGGGCACACCTGAAACCAATCGAGTCATCTCCAAATCATACAAGTGTTATCTTTGCTTGCTGTGATTATGGTATCGCCATTATAGGAAAATGCACAGCTGAAGACGTCGTCTGTGTGACCATCCAACGTTTGCACGCAGCATCCACTTTCCAAGGACCACAATTTCGATGTCCTATCCAACGATGATGTCAACAGGTGTTGACTATTTGGACTGAAACAAACTGAGCCAATTTTTCTGTTAATATTAAATATCTCAGAAATATCATTAAAGTTTATTCAATGTAAAATATTTTTATCCATTCTTTTCTATTTTTGATTTAAGAAAATAAAAAGGATATTTAAAAGAATAAATTGAATTTGTAAAATACTCACAAATATAAAACATTTTATATTTTAAAATACATTTTATTTTAATGAAATAAAATGTTCTATATTTTTACTTTAAAATATAAATATGAAAAGTTTATCATTTACATATGCAACTCTGATTTTTAATTTTTGGAAAACTCTTTTATGTTTAGCATTTATAATTGAATACAAAATTGTTGATTTAAGAAAATAAAAAGGATATTTGAAAGAATAAATTGAATTTGTAAAATACTCACAAATAGTTGAATAAAATGTAAAATATAAAACATTTTATATTTTAAAATACATTTTATTGTAATGAAATAAAATGTTCTATATTTTTACTTTAAAATATAAATATGAAAAGTTTATCATTTACATATGCAACCCTGGTTTTTAATTTTTGGAAAACTCTTTCATCTTTGGCATTTATAATTGAATACAAAACATACAATATAAATTATGTCTCAAGTTTTAGTGTTTCACTGCTTGCTTAAATTCTGTTTCAAATAATAGTTGTAAGAAACCTAATATAATTTGACATCATGCCATATATTAAGATAAATTACAATCAGTCAGTTTATATAATAAGTTATGAATTTTTTAGGAAGTAGAGTTAATAAGCTTATAATTATTGATAATCCTCTAATATATTCCTATGGTATTCTGCAGAATCCAAACACCTTTCGACACTTCTTCTCGGTGACCTTCCATCAAGGCCAGCTGGTGGAAGTCAGTGCTCACATCCCAAACTCGAGCAGTGGTGTCGTTGCTCGCGGTCGCCAACTTTTTCCCGCTGTTGTCGAAGGTCAGATCCAGGACCTCGTCGTCGTGTCCTCGCAGAGTAGCCAAGCAGGAATTTAGCCGCGTGTCCCAGACTTTGGCCGTTTTGTCCATCGACGAGGAAGCGATCAACGAGCAGTCGAAGTTGTAGACACAGTTGGACAACTCTGATCGATGACCGATTAACACACTTGTGCGACTGAAAGAATAAATAAGTAAGGTAAGTAAGGAATGAGATATACATGAGTAATGGAAAAGAAAAAATATCGAATTTATTATACTATAATTAATATTAATATATTATAGTATAATATAAAATATCAAAGTAACCGGAATTATTTCTCCTTTCCTTTTTAATTTGTTAATTTAAATTTAATATACTATAATTAATATTAATATAATATAATATAATATAAAATAT